AAGCTTTTGGCAACTACTTTCATTAATATACTGACTAAAGTCAGTAAGTTAGACATTTGCTATTATAGTGATATATCATTTTATCCCCTTCCCCCTTTCCTTTAGAGTGATATTTTAAAGATCAAGAAAGGTATTGTGAGCTCCTTAACTGAATGACCCCTGATGGTGATACTTTCTAAATATTTGGGATCACGGTAGGAAGAAAAACATTGATTCAAATATCACACAATCAATGAGGGAAAATGCCAAATAAAGTAAAAATTTTATATTAAATTTAAGAACAAAATACTTTATATACAAAGTGGCTTGGTCAAGGGAGACAGCTGAAGAGTTACAGTGCATCCTTTAAGTACAGGAAGCCCAGGTCTGACATCTGGCACCATATGGTTCCCTGAGCACCACAGGGAGCAACCCCTATGAACTAAATTGGAAAAAGGCTCTGAGCACCACTGGCTATGTCTCCAAAACCTAGATAAATAAAAATTCAAAGAGTAGGACCTAGAGAGATAGTACAGAAGTTAAGGCACTCGCCTTGCACGCAGCTGAACTTGGTTAAATCCCTAGTACTGCAAGTGGGCTTCTGAGCACTGCCAGGAGCAAGCCCTGAGCACAGCCAAGTACGCCCTCAAAACACAAACCAAAAGAGTTTAAAAGTAACTTCCAAATGGATAGAGATGTCTCAATGATGACTCAAACTCCAGAAATCAAGAAAATAGTGAGAAGTAAATTATATGAGAATCGAAGAAGCAGCGTAAAATATGTAAATGCTGATAAAATGTTCTCAGAAGAAGACTAACAATACAAAGGAAGAAGGGGCAACGGATATAAACATTCATTTTCATGTATAGGAAAATAAATACAAAGGTAAAGGTAAAAGGTAAAGGCCCTCCCGTTGTTCATCGATTTGCTGGAGCGGGCCCAGTACCGTCTCCATTGGAGATTTTGTTGTTACTGTGTTTGGCATATCGAATACATCACGGGTGGCTTGCCAGGCTCTGCCATGCGGGCGAGATACTCTCGGTAGCTTGCCGGGCTCTCCGAGAGGGGCGGAGGAATCGAACTCGGGTCGGCCATGTTGGCTGCGTGCAAGGCAAACACCCTACCACTGTGCTATCTCTCCAGCCCGCAAATACAAAGGGCACTTAAACATATGATAGACCCTCAACCCCACTTAAAAGTAAATACATTCTTTCTCCAGGGACATTAGCAGATAGGCTTTCCTGACATCCATCGTGCTAGAGACCATCTTGGTAGCCCACCAGGAAGGGTAATTTGGCAGCATCCATCAAAATTACGAATGCATGTGCCTTGTGAGACAAGCCAATTTCATGAATTCATTTCACAAAGAGACTTATCCACTTGCAAACTGACACATGAAGTTATTCACCACAGTAATTGTTGGTAATGAAAGAATGGGAACAGTCAGAATGATGTTTATGGGGGCTGGGGGTTGGTCAAAGAAACCCTGACCCTTGGGGCTGGAGCCACAGCACAGTGGGTAGGGCATTTGCATTGCACGAGGCCAATCCGGGTTTGATTCTCAGCATCCCATATGATCCCCTGGGCACTGCCAGGAGTGATTCCTGAGTGCAGAGCCAGGAGTAACCCCTGTGCATTGCTGGGTGTGACATAAAAAGAAAAAAAAAAGAAAAAAAGAAACCCTAACCCATCTATACAAAGGAATCGCATCCTTCCATACAAGAAAAGAAGGAGATGACAGATGCAGAGATGGAATTAGATGAAAAGAGCAAGGCTGATGATAGCAAAGAGAGTATGCCACTGTGTATAGAATGTAAAGGAGGTGAACGGGCCTGGATTTGTGTCTGTTTATACACCTCAACCTTAGACTCATAGAAGACAGATCAAAGGTCTTCCTACGTATTTGCAGGGGCTAGAGATCTGGGGAAATGCATGATTTGAACCTTTCTGATTTTTTCACTGTGTCAAGAATGACCGATTAAAAATGGAAGTAACTTTGAAAAATCAAGTACTTCAGGCTGATCTTCACTGGTGCTTTTTCTCCTCCCTTCTCAGGGATAATCAGTGATCATTTCTTGTGGACACTGTCCTGCTCTGAGCAATTCTGTCCACTACCCTGTGCCAGAGAGGACGGTGTCATTAAGAGGTGAGCCCCAATGGCAAAGCCACAGCCAAAGCCAGTTGAGTGGACAGAGGCGAGGAGGAGGTAACAGTCTCTCTGCCTCCGCTCTCCAGAATCCCGGGAGAGGACAGAGGAACTGTGAGATCCAGAGGCTTCCTAGAGAGCAGTTGCGGATGGAATTAGGTCAGGAGGCTGGAGAGAGGAGGGAACGGCAGCGGGAGTGTGGGCTGATGTTTTGAAAATAGAAAGAGGAACTGTGCACGCTGGAGGCAGGGAGGACCGGGCATAGCCAGCTTGCAAGGACTGAGATCCAAACCCTCCAGGACGGGCTCTCTTTGCCTCTGTGTCTACTCTTTCAGAATAACAGGCGTGGCTTATTGGGTCTTGAGTACGGGGTATTGCTCCCAACTCAAACTGACGGGGAAGATTCCACCCACGCAACATTTCCTGGACTCTACTTTTTTTTACTCTACATGGCAGCCCCAGAAAAGGGAACTCTCCTCGTACCCATTTTGCAAGTGAGAAAGTTGAGGTTCAGGTGCTAACAAGATGCTGGAAGCCACAAAGCCAGGAAGAGGTGGAATTACAGTGTGATGTCACATCTCTCCGTGCTAAAGCCTGTCTTTCTAAAAAGTATATTTTTTTAATTTTTAGTTTTATTTTTTGCTTTTTGGGTCACACCCAGCAATGCCCCGGGGCTACTTCTGCCTCTGCACTCAGGAATTAGCCCTGACATTGCTTGGGGGACCATATGGGATGCCGGGGATCGAACCTGGCACATGTGCCCCCTACGGGACTTTCGCTCTGGCCCCTAAAACCTATTTTTTTTTTCTTTTTGGGTCACACCCGGTGATGCTCAAAGGTTGCTTCTGGCTCTGCACTCAGGAATTAATCCTGGCGGTGCTCAGGGGACCATATGGGATGCTGGGAATCGAACCTGAGTCAGCCGCATGCAAGGCAAACACCCTGCCCACTGTGCTATCACTCCAGCCCTAAGCCTGTATTTCTTAACTACGCATATACAGATCTTAACTATAGCTGTATCTTAACTACAGATATATAGAAAGGCAAATGAAACTAGATGATTTAGAATGAGGTGGTTTCTATAAATATGTGAAGTTTCCCCAGGGGGCTTAGACCTGGACAGAACAGAGAGTGCCTCCCCCAAGCTTCTGGCTGGCACTTGGAAGAGAGAAAATAGAGTTTAACTCCAAAAAGTCCATTCCCACTTTGAGACCAGGTACATAAATCAAGTGAATCTAGTCCACGCGGCAGCGTTTTCTGGAGAGGATGCAGACACAGCGTACACACTTATCTCTGTGCTATGTTAGAGGCTGGAGCGATAGCATAGCGGTAGGGCGTTCGCCTTACACGCGGCCAACATGGCCGACCCGAGTTCGATTCCTCCGCCCCTCTCGGAGAGCCCGGCAAGCTACCGAGAGTATTCGATATGCCAGACACAGTAACAACAAAGTCTCCAATGGAGACGTTACTGGGCCCGCTCGAGCAAATCGACGATCAACGGGAGGGCCTTTACCTTTACCTTTTATGTTAGAGGCAAAGGGGGCACTTCAGTTTTATAATCAAAAGCACATTATATTTATAATGGGCTGGTCACAAGCAATATTTTAGTGATGCCAAGTTCTCTTTCTCTAAGATGAGGTTTTCAAATTTAAAACTACCGAGAAGGGGTTCTATTTCACTATTTCAGTTTTCACCCTTGGAGTTTTGAAGACTTCAGGGCCAGATAGCACAGGGGATAAAGTGCTTGCCTTGCATGCAGTTGACCCTGGTTCATTCCCTGGCACTGCACATGGTTCACTAAGCATTGTCAGTCGTGACTCCTGAGCACAGAGCCAGAAGCAGCCCCTGAGCACTGTCTAGAGTGGGTACCCCCCCATCCCCACCCTCAAACAAAAGGAAGACTCCAGTATATATTAAAAAAAGATCCTGGGAAGAAGAGTTATCAATGCCAGCAGTTATTGATCCTTACTACAAGACCAAATTATATCATGCAGTTTAAAAGAAACTAGATCATGAATTTCTCATTAATCTTCTACAGTCTTGCATTGTGTGTTCTCAGATCTCACTGGTATAACTGATGTTAACTGATGACTATTTAAAATTTCATCTCAATAATGTGACTTACCCATCACTAATAGAGGCAAATCTATGTAAAAATTAAAATGCAAATAAGAAGTTCTTATGTGAAATCTCTAAATTGAAAATATCAAGGACCCATTCAAAAGTCAATATGAACCAGTGACTCTAATTATCAATTTAATATAAAAAACATCAATTACCATATTAATATTGAATGGAGTTTGCTTAAGAGAAGTTTGGCAGAAATGTTGTCACGGGGATTATGTGTGATGATTAATATCACATTATGCTTTTATTTCATTTAAAATATTTTTTCACTCAATGAAAAACTTACTTGTTCATTTCTGTTTTCTCTTTACTTTTAAATTACCTACAAATTGAGGGTTTCTCAAGATATTTTTCAGTGGTAGGGCTAAATGCATGCATAAAATGTTGCTTTTCTTAAAGCCTTACAACATGCGAACATATGAAGTTTGGAAAGAAAATGGATGCAGTATACATACAGACATACAAGCACTGAATGCCCCCAGTGTAAACCATCCTAGAAACAAAAGGCACCCCCCCAAACTGCAAAGGAAAGCTGGGCAAGCACATATTGGACATACTTCATTGGCACCAGCTACACGCAAGCTGAACTGCTGTTTGTGGATCTTATTTGGGGGGCCAGGGAAGAGCAGGCGCGTTTCAGCACTTTGCTTTTGTCTACAGGGCTTTGAACCCCAATGCAACAAAACAAAACCCTGGCAAGCCAATCCCCACCCAAGAGACACCCCCCTTAAGCTTGGCTGCCCCTCACCTGCTCCCCTTCTCTCCTCTCTCCCCAGAAGAAGGCACTTCACGGAAACGTCTGGGAAAGCCCTTGGACTTTATTTTGTTACACCCTCTAAATGGACAAAAAACAAAAGAGAACAGGTATAGATGACAGTACTTGCACGTGGCCACCACCACGATCCACATAAATGTCTTCCCCCCACAACACAGACACCCCACCAAAGGGCCCATCAGGAGACTTTCAAAAGAGAAAATACGTACGCAAGATGGCTGGGTTAAGGACTTTTACGCCGAGGTAGACATGAAAAATGAGATTTTCCTTTTTCGGCTTTTTTTTGGAGGGGGGGTCATACCCGGCGATGCTCAAGTGTTATTCCTGGTTCTGCACTCAGGAATCACTCCTGGAGGTGCTTGGGGGACCAGATGGGATGCGAGGGGGCAAAACTGGGCCAGTCACGTGCAAGGCAAATGCCCTACCTGCTGTGCTATCCTTCCAGCCCCGCTAAATGAGATCTTTGCTCTTAGAAGTGGCTCTGTATTCTAGAAGCCTGCATTTCTGACAGGGGTTTGGGCCACACATGCAATGCTGGGGGTTACGTGCTCACAAATGACTCCTGGTGGTGCTCAAGAGACTAGAGGCGCTGCTGGGAATTGAACTGGGCTGGCCACATGCAAGGCGAGTGCCTTGTCCCCTGTATAGTCCCCCTGACCCCCAGAACCTGTATCACCCTAGGTGTTGTAAGGAGACCACAAACCCAACAGTGACCTTTCTCATTTCTTTGTCTAACTCTCCCACTCGGACAATCTGTCCTGGCAGACATGATGGCTTAAAATACCATTACAATAAATGGGCAATAAATGGGGCGGGAATTGACTGGATGTCATTTGAACCTTTATTCTACTACAGATTTCTCTGAATTTGGTGTTGCAAACAAACCGAGGATTTGCCTTTTTCTCCAAGTACACCTCTAACTTCTGGACAGACAAACACATTCCTGATTCATAATATATGCTGTGGCAGATGGGCCGCAAGGCATGTCAGGGGCAGCAGTTGTTCGGTTACTACTATGTACAGAGTCCAATATTTTGTGTCTCCTAAAAATGTGAACAACTAAAGTAGCTGAGACGTGGCCCTACCATTTGAAAGAAGCACTTTTGTCACACAAAAACACTTAAGGGTCATTTAATTACATGCAATTCTCAAACCAGAGAGGCCACAGAATTTCGTACTGAAAGAATTTCTAGGGGCTGTAGCACAGCGGGTAGGGAATTGCCTTGTATGTGGCTGACCCAGGTTCAATTCCCAGCATACATATTGTCTCCTGAGCACTGCTAGGAGTGATTCCTGAGTGCAGAGCCAGGAGTAACCCTGAGCATCGCCAGGTGTGACCCCCAAAAGAAAAAAAAATTCTATTTTTTGCAAACTCTTGATAGAACAGCAAATATAAACTCAGATATACCGAGGGTCTTTATTTTGGAAACTTCGTAGAATTCTGGGCTTATCTCTGAATTCAGGTATGGAATTTCAAGTGACATCTATCTGTTAACTTCTGGTTTCCTGGATGGCTTTTTGCTTGTCAGAATGAACATATCCTAACTGGTGGAGGAAGAAGGGGTGGGAGTGTGCTATGATTCAGAACTTCTTGTCTCCCTCTATTGAGAATATTTCAGAACTACAACAACTGTCCTCAAAACATCACCAGCAAGCTCTGCGCAGCTAGGAACATTAATCTGAAGAAATCACGAGCGTGTTGGAGTGTTTTTGCAAATTTTCATAAAAACTTGAAATTTGCAGCTTCCTAAAATATTTAGACTTCTTCTCAACCCTTAGCCCTACTCAGAATTCTGCCAGAATCACTCTTTCGGGAATTTTGGAGCGGAGCCGGCTATCTCCGCAGTTTTTCCTCACACACAATCACAGGCGCTTAAAACTACCACCCGTAAACTGACAACACTTTGCTGAAAAGCAAATGCCACAAAGCCAATTACTAATATCTCGAATAATCGGGAGCTACCTGAGCACGTGGAGAGAGAGGATAGGATCAACCCTGGGAAGAGAGATCATTTCCTTCTGAGAAACCCCCAGAAAGGTGTCGGTGTGGAGGGCAGGTGGAGTGGACAGGAGTTTTCGTTTCCATGTAAAGAGAGTCTCCTTAAAAATGTTTCCAACCCCCTTCTCTTGAACAGAATGGGCCCTGACTTCTAAGGATCACGGAGTATGTTTAAATGGCAACCTTTAGCACTGAATCTCTCCCTGCTTTTGTCTAATGACTGTGTGTCAGCCTGTTCCAAGAGCTTCGTCTGGCATCTCAGGGCCAACTCGACAGCAGGGGGCCGGTTACTATAACAACTGACAGCTCTGTGAATTCTGAAAGGCCCCCAGTAGCCTTTTGGGAAACAGTTATTGAGCAAAAAGTTGCCTGGGATCGGCAACATTAGCAGCCACGTGACCCAAATCTCCCTGCACACAGCTGCACAAGAGAAAAGATTTAAAAAAATAAAATAAAAAGGCTCCCACTTCCAGGAACAGCTGGGGACCCCAAGAGACTTCCCACTCCTGTGCCTTTTAGCGTCTCTGAGTGAGACGGTATCATCGTACACTCAAACCCTCTGGGGCCGGTCAGGTTTTGGCATTCTGAAATGTGCTTTTGCTTCTTCTACTAGCTTGACCCGCTACCAGGTTTTGAAATGCTGAATTGTAAAAATTATATCTAATAATGAGAGGGGAAAAAAAAACTCAGAAAAGATGGGCAGAGATATAGAGGCAGGTCCCAGGAAGAGGGAAGGGATGGAGAAAAAAAAAGCATCTGTTTGGAAAGAAAAATGCCTGTCTGGAACACCAGTGGCCCAGTGGGGGGTTGTTTGCAGATGAATATAAAGGGGAGCACAGAAAGCTGCCACAAAGCATGATTTGAGAGCTTGGGTTTTTCTAAAGTGCAGAAAAGTGGAACAAACCAATCTTCTGATGCTCATTTCCTCTGTCAAACAAACTACAGAAGAGCCATAGGCTGACCCACGGCCTTTGTCCATGCTGAGGCCTCCATAACGGGGCTTTGAGTCTGCCGAGGAGAAAGGCAGTTTGATGCGGTTTGCTCCCTGCCCAATTGCTTTTATTATCTGTTCTGTGAAAACCGCTGGGAAGCATCCTGCCTTTCAAGAAATCTTCCCTGGCTCCCTATCCCCCTGCACCCCTGGCTGTGGCAGCCCCCTGCCCCTTCATCCTCTCTGGCATGTGGGCACTACAGAGAGCTTCACTCAGTACCCACCCTACCCACACTTGGTGCCACCAGAGGACGTCAGAATAATGTCACCAGTCTGTCCAAGTACTAACATGACCCAAATAACTAGAGTCTTAAGTAGAGTCTTAATCTTTCTATTAAAAAAAATCCAGATTTTTTTAAAGTAATACTTTATAGCTACATAAAAGATACCTGAAAAATGTTTGTTTAAAAAAAAAACCTGGAAAGCCCCTAAAAAGACTTACAAGTTAACTTTTCTATCTGCACATTTATTTTATCAACTTGAAAGTTCCTTTAAGAACTTGCCGTCTCGGGGTTGGAGAGATACCACAGCGGATAGGGTGTTTGCCTTGCACGCGGCTGACCCGGGTTCGATTCCCAGCATCCCATATGGTCCCCTGAGCACCGCCAGGAGTAACTTCTGAGTGCAGAGCAAGGAGTAACCCCTGTGCATCGCCAGGTGTGACCCAAAAAGAAAAAAAAAAGAAAAAATAAAAGAACTTGCCATCTCACTGAGTCTCTAGTGTCTGGAATAAACTAGATGCTTAAGAAATGTCTCTGGCCAGGAAGTTAGTTCAGTAGGCTGGTGTGCATACTTTCGCATACTGGAGCCCTAGGTTTCATCCCTGGTACCACATGGCCCTTCAAGCACCCCTAGGGCTCCAAGCCAAATATGGAGCAAGGAGTAACACCCAAGCACCACTGGGTGTGAGCCCCAAAATAAACAACTGTCTCCGAATGAATGGGGAAAAGGAGGAATACATGGGCAGCATATAGATAGGTCTTAGGTCAACAACGCATGCCTCTAACCAATATGTGAGTACCTCCCAACGCATTTACTATGTGATCCTGGGCCAGTCATTCTTTGGAAACTGTCTCCATCCTGCTCTCAAAGCAAGCGAGGTGAGTGCATGAGTGCAATCCCTTACACAACTGTAATGAGGACATCATGATTCGCTTTGAATTCACCCACCCGTGGTTGGGAATTGCTATCTGTGTGTTCACCCACCCGTGGTTGGGAATTGCTATCTGTGTGTTCACCCACCCGTGGTTGGGAATTGCTATCTGTGATGGTTCCCCTCTGCCACACTGTTCAGTCATTTGCACGGGAGGAAGTATCCCTACTGTGCCTATTCCCTTTGTGGCTTTGTGTGAAGAAAGAGGTGCAAACCTTAAACCAAATCATGTGCGTTAATCTGTAAGCATGCCCAGGTCAGCTGCTAGAACAGATGTGGAGGGCATTCTCCCAGCTCACTGACAGCTGTGAGGTTCAGTGTTGCTGCTGAAATACAAGCACCAATGCCTTCCCCTGAGAGACACGTGGTCAGTCATTCTGAGAGCAAGAGAGGGGTGTTCCCACAGGCCCACACTCAACTTCTTAATGCCCCTGTTTGTTTGTAGGAGCCTCCACAATGCCAACACAAATCCTCAGCCCCACATGTGTACTCTGCACCCTTTCCTATTTATTACACTGTTTTGTACTGAATAGCCAGGGAAAGGGGAAAAAATCGTAATGTCAACAAAACTGAACAGCATTCATAATGAGGAGGCACCAACACATGGCAAAATTTCAGAGCATCTAAAGGTAGGAGGGAAAAACATTTTTTTTCCTCCCCTATCTGCTTATGAAATTGCATTGGTATTGATGGATTTACTACTGTATTCATAGTTGGCTAGGTCACATGTTCAAGAGACTCATGAATTTCTTAGTTCAGAGCATGAACTTCTTGCAATACTGAATTTTAACAGATCCAAGGTTCTAATTCCCACTTAAAAATTTCCATTTTGGACCAGGGAAGAGGACCGGGGTTAAGACATTTGTCTCACATGCAGCTGAGCCTGGTTCGATCCCAGAATTGTACATGGTTCTGAG